AAATCTCAACTGCACTCTTGACTGCTTCAACATCAATATCTATTAGTCTTCCAGTTTTAGATGAAATAATCGAACATTTCTTGGCTTCTGCATTTGGAACAAACAGCCTGCCCTTATCTTCAGAAGAGAACAACCCAATGCTGCAAAACAAGACAAGAAAACAGATGACATGAGCCTGTATCGATTGTAAAGCTTGCTTGCCTAACATAGCACGAAGGTTTTTGCAATTCTAGATCTCGGAGATAGATTAAAATGCTTCGTTTATAGTTCAATAGATAATTCACATGTTTTCTCAAACTTCATTTGCTGAATTGTGTAATAATTGGGGTGCAGTTGAACAAAAGAAGCATTTTACCTGGGCTTTTCTCGCGCATTTGCAAGTTGAATTGCTGCTGTATTTGTTGCTATTACCCCAGCAGAGTCATTGATAAGAGCAGCCAGCTATAACAAGGGTAACAAAACCATGTTAGGGTAAAGATGCTTCATTTACATTGGCCCCTCCCTACAGTAGTTCCAAGTTGTAAGGTCACTTATATGGTCTGGAAGACTAGAACTAATGATCAGTTAAGCTGTCGAGCTTATTGCTGACCATCTAAAGTTGTAAGGTCACTTTTTGGTCTAGAACTACTGATGAGATAAAGCTGTCGAGCTTACTGATGAGTGATGACTATCACAACTCGAGTTTAGAAACTTCAAATTGTTGTCCAGAGAAGAACAATTTATGACTCACTCTTGAGATCATGGTGTTTTTTTGTGGATATGATATAGAGACGATTCCAATTTTGTAGTCCTAGAGCTCGTTCCAACTGTGTCCTTACTTTGTATTTCTACTATTACGCAACATGCACGGTATTTAAGAACATAATTTTAGGGGATAAAAGCAAACCTGCCCAGGAGTAGTAATGAACACCATACTTGCATCATATCCAACAACATCCTCTACATGCACCCTTTCCCTCTCATGTGGGATGACAAAAACAGGCCTGAGTCCACTGGTAAACAATTTTTAAGAAAAGATAAAGATTTGATCTCAGTATTTGAGAAGAAACCAAGTCAGTTTAGATCGACATAAAATATCATAACTTTGATCATGAGAAAGGAATTGCTTCTGTGAGTAAAAATCAATCAAGTATACCACAGATAGGAATGGCAAAGTATCATACTTAATCGCGTTGGTTATCTGAGACCATACTTCAATTGGAAGCAAACTGTCAGCGTCTCCCCTGGACTGCATATTAGCTTTTGAATCTGCTTTAATCCCATGGATGACTATATATTTCCCTTTCTGCACACCTGCCTTCTGATACTTAGCCTCAACAACCTCCTTAAGTTTCCTTGAGATCAATACTTTTAGGGGAGGCACAGGGTGCCTTGGTACCTTACGACCTGGTCTCCCCAACCAATCCACCATTTGATGGTACCTGCATGCACGAGATAAACACAAACAGCATCACAGCATATACATGTCTTTCTTTGAGAAACAAAACATGACATTGCCAATTCTAATGCACTGGCATTAGCTAGGGATATTTTTCAACAGAGAAAGCCGATGATTGTCTGCAAGTTTCTGCCTTTCCTTTTGTCCAACTTACATGTGATATCCACCCTCAGAGAGATTCGTACTGTCTGGTTTAAATGTTTCTGAAAGAAACAATCCTGCTCCTGCAGCATTTACATTTGGGTATATGTAACTAACCCTGTCTCGGGCTGTTGACATAAACAAGAATGCTGCATGCCCAATCCCTGCTAGTTTTGTTGACAGGATCATGTCATAGTATCTATTCTGCAAGCAAGAGAAGAGGAAACATGTATAGAAGCACCGTGTAAAACAGACAAGCCATGCGCTCATGTTCTACATGGAAATATTGATATGTAGCATAGTGATTCTTAATCAGTGCGAACTGCGAAGAAGAAGAATCTATTCACATTGAACTAGAAACATATTCAATCAGAGTTTTGGAAGCTGATGGCTAGGGCCAAATTCCTCATTTCAATGGCAGATATATGGGGTCGTGGGAGGTGAAACTACCTCCAGCGTGTTGTTAAAATTGTTCGTATATTGCCTTTTTAACTACGTTAGATTTTGTTCCCCCAAAACTCCCCAATTCACATCTCTGGGCAGTTTGCTTCAAACTTTCTTCATTCCCGCATGTGATGTTGTCTATACAATCTAATTAGCTATGGATCAAATCAGATTCCATTCAACTGATATAAAATTTGGTTGCTTGCCTTGACACAAATAAGAATTGTTCACCAACCTTAAGAACTCCTAATATATCAGTATACTCTGCAGGCTCAGGGAAGTCATCATCTGGATCATAAACATTAGCCCATCTGACGTTCTTGTTCAACTCGTAAGTCTGTTTCCCTCTGTCAGATGCCACAACGTCTATCTGAACACCAGGATATCTATCCTTCAACAACTGAATTGCTGGAAAGAACAACAAATTCTCATAAACTCCACCAGAAATAACACAACAACATCTTCTAACGTCGCCTCGAATTTTCAATCCCAATGAAGCAATTTCGACATTATATCCCATTGGGAATTTCAAGAACCCGTAGGGATTATCAGGATTATCAGGTGGCCTTGGATCTTCATCTTGCTTTCCCTCGGAAAACAGCGAGCCATACTCCATTTCGGGGTCGACACCGTCGTCAAAAGGGTCAAGCCAAGGATTTTTCTTGGCATTGGTCACAATCTTGCATGAATTTTTGGTGCATAAAATTAAGTCTGCTGAATTGTTTACAAAGGTGACATTGATTAAGCTTGTTGAGGGAATTGAAGGCGGATTGATGAGAAATTGTGAAATTGACTTTGGCAGTAGAGAAGTTGCAGCCATTTTAGTATATCCGCTTCCAGTGTTCTTGAATTAACAGCCTCAAGCCATCGCTGCTTGCTACTAGTGGTAGTATTTGCTAGCACTTTTATCATAGTGGCCGACTGGACGTTGGATTTGAATGTGTGAAGAAGATTGGATAAGTAGGCCCCACCCAAAGAAAGTTATCCCAAAAAAAAAAGGAAAAACGAAAAGGAAGAAAAGTTACAGATGCAACTTAATGATTTATTTAAATATTAATATTAATGTAAGTTGTCTGTGTGGATAATCCAGCTGTTATAGAATTGTTAATGCTTATAGCCGTCTAAACCAACTGCTAATTTAACTAAACTCTCAAGTCGCAAAGGCGGAAGTCAAAGTCCAATTCATGAAGAATTTTCTTTAAAAAACTTCTGCTAACGTCCGCAGACACTCTTCTTTTTTTTTTCTCTACTTTAAGTCATATTCTAAAAATTATGAATAAACTTGCCAGCAAGTTCTGTACTAGCTTTCTGAGTACTTTTGGGGGCATAATTTCCATCTCAAGTTTGAGATTTTGTTTAAATTTTCTTTGCAATTTTTTAATTTGTTGACTAAGTTTAACTCCATGATTTTATTGACATACTTCATGCATACAACGAAGTATCCTTTTCTATAATCTATTTTCAACGCTTTTTTTTTGAGTTAATCTAGCTAGTACCCATTGAATACTTGTTACTATACCTAAAATTCATCTAATCTACCATATATATATATATATATATATGTACAAACTAACAATTATTACCCTCCTTTGCATATATATACTTTCCCTATCTAATCTTACCTACCCTCCCTTGTATTTGTTTACTTTTTCTAATTAATCTTACATTTTTTAAAATATGACCTCTGAAATATATATCAATGTGTGCTAAATGTGCACTTGTTAGATAAGTAATTTTTCTTTTGGGACATTTTTATAAATCTTCGCTAAGGTTTCTGACTATTTCGTTGGCTTCTCTCCAAATATCGAAAATTACACTAACCTCTATTGAGGTTAATTATTTTGTAACATTTAGACCCAACTAGTAATTAAAAAGTGATATTACAAGAGAGAATATAACGTGATTCCACCATTACCCCTCATCTATTACATTATTTAGTTTATGTAATACTAACCTACACATTAAAGAAAAACATTAAAATTTGCTATTTATCATTAGGAATTAAATCATATATAGCATCCAAAAATAATACATCAATCTATATTTTCACTTAATGCATTATGCTAATTACTTTTTCTAGTTACATATCTATTGTTAAACATGATCAACAAAAAATAATCAAAAAAAAAATTGCAACCAAAATATTACAGAGAGCAAACATAAAGATCATAAATATCCTTGTCAATATATTAAGGTTAGTTGCTGAGATTTTTAATGTATTTAAGTTCGCTCTTTGTAATATTTTGGTTGTCGATTTTTTTTCGATTATTTGTTATTGTTATGTTTGACAATGGATCTGCAACTAAAAAGAGTAATTTGGATCTTATATATAGAATGATATATTATTTTTTGATTCTATATGTGATTTGATTCCTGATGGTAAACATCAAATTCTAGTGTTTTTCTTTAATATGTCAGATGGTACTGGATTACCTAAATAATATAGTAGATGAAGATCAATGATGAAATCATGTTATCTTCTATCTTTTAATATCACTTTTTAATGGTTGGTTGAATTTAAATGTTATACAAGATAATAAATCTCAAGAGAAGTTAAAATAATTTTTGAAATCTAAAGCGAGACCAGTGAAATGGTCATAAACCTCAAGGGAGGCTTTTGAAATTATCCCTGTCTTTATGCCCTTTTAGGCTCAAATTTAATATTTTTTTTGCAGCAATTAATCAATTTCAAACTAGAATAACTTTTGTTTTCACCAATTTAGCAAAATACACCAATACAAGCCAAAGGAAACAAGAACCCTATGCATGTGACACGAGTTTATTTATCCAGCATCTACACCACCCACCAAAATTACAAAAAAAAAAGGAATGGAAAGGAAAGGAAAGGAAAAAAAGAAAGAAGAGAAGAGAAAATATGGTACTAATACTAATAGATTTATTGTCACCATTAACAAAAATTTGAAAATCCCCCAACAAGAGAAAAAAAAAGTGAAATAAGAAAAATAAAAGGACTAGGTTCCCCGAGTCCAGGCTGCCATAGCTGATGTGGCAAACTTTTACTGGTGACCTTTTCTGTCTTTTTGCTTTCAAATTTCATTTTCAGCAATCATCATCATTCATCACCAACTCCGATTCAGTGGTTTCCATCTAGAAACATCCATCTTCCCTGAAGCAGCTGCCGGCTGGTTTCTACCTGATCATCCAACTGCCACAGAATTTCTCCTCCTACAGTATTCGCCTTCATCGTAACTAATGCATCCACTTCTACCATAACCCCTGTCTCCTCTGGGTTTTATTTCACTAGTCTCCTCCCCACCCTACTACAATGCGCCTTTCACTTTCTCACTCTTCATACTACCCAAACCCTAGCTACTCAGCAAATTCAGCAATTGGGATAGTTTTTCTCACTGATCAGTGAATTTTAACTAAAATTTTCGGCAAATTTGGGTGAATTAGAGGAAATGTCTGGGCCGCCGCGAGTGAGATCGATGAACCATGCCGAGTCGGAGGTCCGCCCGGTGCTCGGACCGGCGGGTAACAAGACGAGATCGGCATTGGAGCTAAGGAAGCCCGTGAGTAAGCCTAAGATTAGTAGTGTGAACAAAATGCAGGAAGGAGAGGAGAAGAAATCTCCGGCCACTGTCACGATGGAGAAGGATTTGTCCCCGTCTCCGAAGAAGAAGTTTGGGGGAGCTTCAGCTGCGATTATGAGGCAGCAGCAGCAGCGGCAGGAGGTGAAGTCGTTTTTGATGAGGTCGAATTTGTCCATGAATGCTTCTTGTTCGTCGGACGCTTCGACGGATTCTTCCCAAAGCCGGGCGTCGACAGGGAAAATTAGTAGGAGAAGCTTGACGCCCACTCCGATTAGACGGAAGCAACAACACTGTGGGCCAAAAGTTGAGAAATTGGAGAAAGTTGGTTCTGAGGTTGACAGTGCAGCTGTTGTAGGACTAGCTGATGATTCTGTGGCTAAGAAAAGGTGTGCCTGGGTCACTCCAAATACTGGTAGGATTATTGGGCTTTTATTCTTTTCTTTTTTCCCCCCATATATAGAAGTTTGAGCTTTATTAGGTGTAGCATCCTTCCGTGTAGCTTGTTCAAAGAGTCGAGCAAAAAGTTTGAATTTTTCATAGAAAGTTATGTTTTTAGTGTTCACTGGATGTTTTGTTTGATAAGGTTACTTGTTTGAGCTGATATAATGCGAGCATACATGTTTGGGATGTGACCATGGGAGTGCTGCATATGAAGGACAGAAAATGTGTAATTTGTCTTTGTAAAGGGGTATGTATTGGCCTCCATTTTGCTGTTTTAGAATTCACGCGATTGAAAGTGTCGTCAAAGCGAGTTTGCTTCCGTATAATGCTCACAACTGGCAGTGAGATACACATGGAAATGAGTTTTAGTAATTTTGTTATGAATGAACTTTCTAATTTCATGTGATTCTAAATGTAATTTCTAGTCCTGTTTTTCCGCTGACTTAGTTATTTTTTAGGACATCTCAGGGAATTGTGAAGCATCATTTTAGGGCAGTTCTTTTTGGTATATTAAGAGTCATCTTAGTGCTTCATTTATGCCTGGGTTTCTCAATATGATGTTACTTGTGGATATGTGCACTATGTCAATGAATAGGAACAGGTTTTACTAGGAAGGCAATGCATGATGGTACTATTTTAACTGCTTTGATGTACATTTATTCTCCATCTTTTCGTTCCACTGTCAGTGTGTTGCAATCTGACGTAGTCCTCTTATGTGCATATACCATCCTTTGATTTACTTTTTTGCTAATTAGTTTCTTATTGTGACAAGATCCATCCTATGCTGCCTTCCACGATGAAGAATGGGGAGTGCCAGCTCATGAAGATAAGTAAGAAAACTCAAAAGACCCTGTTGTTTATCTTGTCGATTTCAAAGTTTCATGAACTTGAGTTGACGGGCTTTCAAGTTTGAGTTTGATTGTTTTTGCCAATTTGCAGGAAGCTTTTTGAATTTCTCAGCCTATCCACTGCATTGGCTGAACTTCCATGGCCCACCATTCTCAATAAAAGGCATACATTCAGGTAGGTTCTAAGTCTATGATGTTTGGGCAGATGCTCAAAATTTTTTGTATGCTTGTACGAGGGTCCTGTTCTTTTTTGCTTTAGCTTGTCCAAAATTTGTACTAAAACTTGACGAATTGTTGAAGTTTTCGTAGGCATTTTTTTCCCATAAATGTTGAAAAGCATATATTGGTGTGGCAAAAGAAAATGCATTGAGAAGTAGCTGAGAAAAAGCTAAATCAGTTTCTTTAAAGTAAACAATAGCAGGTTCAAAGTTTTCACATCTAAGTGATTGATGCAATTGAATGTGCTTGGATGCAGAGAGGTCTTTCAGGACTTTGATCCAGTTGCTGTCTCCAAATTAAATGAGAAGAAGATAGCAACTCCAGGAAGCCCTGCTAGTTCGCTTCTATCTGAGTTAAAGCTGCGTGCAATTGTAGAAAATGCACGCCAAGCTTGTAAAGTAAGTACTAATATATTTGTGTAGCTCTATCATTTTATGACTGTTTTTGAAGAGTGATATCTTTCTTTTCACTAGCTGTTATAATTATTAGTGTTCAGTTCGAAGATGAGTGTATTTGAGGTCTTAATGTTTATAGTAGATGCTAAAAGCAGGATGATTTAATGAAATCTTAGTGAAAGATGACCCAAATTAGAACCTAATGGGAGCCTTAAATCTGTCTTATCATATTGAGCATGAAAGAATCTGCTAATAATAGTTTTCCTTTTTTAAAGTGACTGTTGGTGGTGTAAACTCTTGAAGTTTAGTTGTAGCCTAAAGAATGGAAGAATTGGCAGTCCACGTTCAACTTTCAGGCAGTTCTTGCAAACATGATTTTTACGTTCTTCTTATACAAATGAACATATTTAGCATCTCATACTAATCATTCCTTGCCATTTCTTTTTTTTTTTTTAAGGAAAAGAGATAGTAGACAGAAGAATAATTCCCAAATTAGAACTTGTTACCATATTGAAAAACAAAGAGATACAGCACTGCTTAATAGTAGTGTTTAATAGCCTTATTTATACAATCAATCTGGAAAACAAAGGGAGCACTTATGGGTTGTATGCGAGTCAGTGATAATATGGTAATCCATCTAATGAGTTCGTTGTTTTGCTCATGTTGCAGATCATTGAGGAATTTGGGTCTTTTGAGAAATATATATGGGGTTTTGTCAATTACAAGCCTATAGTTGGTCATTTTCGCTATCCAAGGCAGGTTCCAATTAAGACGTCAAAAGCTGATGCAATCAGCAAAGATCTTGTAAGGAGAGGATTTCGAGGAATTGGACCTACGGTTGTCTACTCATTCATGCAAGTGGCTGGAATCACGAATGACCATCTCATAAGTTGCTTCAGATTTAGGGATTGTGTAGATGTGGGTGATGGCAGAAATAAAGATGATGACCTCATAGCCACCATCGAAGGAAAACAAGCCGAGGATTCAGCTGAAAGTGGATTTGAGGAAAGACTAGATGCATTGAGCTTATCAACATTGTGACATGTCAAGTTGATAAATGATGTTGTGCAGTGTATCCCGTGCTTGTGTGCTGTTGTGGGCTAATGCAACAATTTGTTTATGTATAAATGATAATGAATCATTTTTGTTCATTGCATTGTAAAGTGCCAATTAGAATTTGGCTGCACACGACGATGATGTTCAAGGTATCTGGGGTATTCCTGTGAATTGCGGCCGCCTTCTGTATAGGCTTCATGCTACGTGCTTGGCATCAACTGCCAATTGGCGACTTCCAGGACTGACCCTCTTCTTCAATTTTGACGCCACTTTAGTAGCAAGTGCTTTCTTCCAACAGGAATTTGCTGCTGTAGCATTAGAAAGCAGTCCTGCCCGAGGATGAGGCTGCGAAGGTCTATAGGCTACCTCATGTTTTTCTTTTCTTCCATACTGATGGATTTCCAGGCGTGTCCGGTTTCACAGATTCATGGCATGTTTACTGAGACAGCGTTTGCCATGCAGTTTCCCTACCCATTACGCTCCGTGGATATTTGTTGGCAGTCTTGCCAAAGGACTGAAAAACTGGATGTTAGTCGGCAGTTGCAAGTAGAAGGAACCCAACATAAATTAACCGAACTACCTTTTTTGAATGCCAAACAAAATTCTGGCATTGCTTGGTATATGCCATTCAAATCTGTGAACATCAATGATCATTTCAGAAAAATTAGCTGCGGCTTTGAGAAATAATTTCGTGTTTACTTCTCGAGCTCCTCTCGAATTTAACTCTCAATACGACGTTGTTTTCACATGGGAATTCCCATCAGGATCTATGAAAAAACATTTGATCTTCTATGGTTGTATGCTCTGATTTAGCCCCTCAAAGCTGTCGTTTCAAGAAGGGATAATTTCAGAAACCTCTCCTGAGGTTTTTGATAATTTCATGTGGCTCCCTTAAGGTTTTAAAAATTACACCTACCTCCTTTATCCATTTAAAATAACAATGCTAACCTTAATATTGTAATAAAACTCTCTTGCTACCATGTTTATACAAACGATGGATTTTATAATTTTTTTTTCCTTCTTATTCATTTCTCTTCTATTTCATTAAAAGCATAGAAAAATTATCAATGTTGTCCCTAATATCTATACAGATCAAATGTTAAACTAGTAATTTTTTTAATGATTTTTTATATCATCCAATTTTTTTGTAGCTCTTTTTTTGTATCAAAATCAACAATAATTAAAAACAAATGGCCTAAAATCACTACCAAACTATGGTAGTTCCATCACTAAACTAGTCCATATAAACTTTAATTAAAAAAAATAATCCATAAACTTAAAAAACACAAGGTAACACTTTCTTCTCAATCTTAAAAAAAAAACCTATATTCCCAATAAAGCACTATAAAAAATAGCTTATCATAACAAAAGATTTATTGTTATAGTTGATTATTAAATAATAAATAGTGGCATGAAAAACTTGAGACTCCTTTTTTTTATATATAATTGTGTCAAATTACTTTACAATTGTTTAGAAGAATGAATTGAACTTTATAAGATAAGGGCATTTTAAGGTATTCATTAAATTTTTGACCTTATTTTAAGGTTTGATTACCAAAGTGTCAAATTAATGAAGGTAAGTGTAATTTTAAAAACTTCAAGGGAACTAAGTGACATAGCCAGAAACCTCCCCTCAGGTTTCTGAAATTATCCCTTTCAAGAAATGTAGAATCCAGTTGACGGAACAACGATAGACTTTAGCTTGACGTTTAGAGCACAAAAGTCGTGCCACCGCCTCTGGCCAAAAAGTCCTTTGGACAGATAAAAGAATCAAATGCAACCCCATTTGTTGACAAATCCATAGAAATATTAAGGGAGAGTTGGTGAGAAAATTTCTTTCCGAATCTTCAACTAAACAAGTAGCGTATGTTTAGGTGGCTGAATCAGCTGCCTTTTGGGCTTTAGTTGAGGCAGCCCATATTACAACTTGAATTAATCCCTCCCCTTTAACCCATCATATTTTTTTTTGTCCGAAGGATGAAGTTCGCCTACCATACTATCAACTTCAAATTTTCTAATGTGGTATATACATCAAATTGGTCCCATCGATCTTCGACTAGTCAAATACAAGCAAATTGACAACAACCCTTGACTAGATTCCACTACTGTTTCCTTCTTTACCACTTCTCTGTCTGATTATGCTGGAGAAATTTTCCCGATATGGCGGCTGCAAGGGCTGCTTTGAAACTCGGATCTTTGGTCAAGGAAGAAGCCATTTGTTCTATGATATACTGTTGAATTTCTGGTGAATTAACCTTGCGAGTACTTGAATTTCTTGTTTCTTCATGGGATTTAGGCTTGGTAAGGTCCAGGGTAATTGTTGGTCCAGATGAGCTGAGAGATGTTGAGCATGGGACTGGACCAAGTGTTACACATCGGGTAGAGTTTGAGGGTGTTTGATCCATTTTTGATGGATGTGGGTGATTGTGCTCCCCCTCATAAGTTGCTACAAGAATAGATTGATCTTCCACACTTCTTTGGACCTGTGTTTGATCAAATGCAACGAAAATAGTTTAGTAATGCCACTCCAATACTACAAAAAAACTGTAGTAGATTTTGTCAGAAACACTACTAAAACACGGCATGATAGAAAAACATTCTTTCATCTTGGGCCAGAGATTACTTTAGTAATGCCTCTCTGGTACCATAGATAACTTCAGAAACACACATAAAACACGGCATGACAGAGCAGCTACCTCTTATCTTGGGCAAAATTAATGGAATGAATGCTTTCTCTTCAATGTTTATTGCAAGAAGATGATATCGTAGGAATGACTGTAGACAATTTGTCTTTGGTTAATTTAGATTTAGTTCCATGTTAAGCGTATTTTTTTTTTTTTAATTATCATTCTTCGGACTTGTTCGAACTTTTATAAATAGACATAAAAATTGCATGCCTCGCATTTTTCTCCACCAAAAACTGATATTTCTACTAGTTTGATCTGTAAGCTGAATTAATAGTATCGCATAATGAGCTGTTAATTTGCAGTTTCCTGTGCAACGCGCAGGCTAGTAGTTTAGCATACCTTCTTCTTAACGGGGCAGCTAGGAGCAAATGAGCATTTGAAATAAGCTCTCGGAGAGGGGTTATCTCTGGTGACTTTCTGTCCATATTTCCTCCACTGGTATCCGTCCTTTACAATCTGTAATAAAGAAATTTTGCCATTCAGATTCGCAGTATAAAAGGGACAGATCATATTTCAACCTCATACGATCAACTATTTGAAATCATTTCAGATTCACATTGGCTTATTAATTAATTAGTACTTTTTTCCCACATGAAATATGGAAGTTTGTTTTGAAGTCTATGCTAGGGATTATGGACTTACCAGGCTTGTATCAGATGGCTCGGTTCGGGCATAAACTCTTGAAACCTTGGCCTTAATATGCTCTTCCCTTGGTTTCTTGCATGAAGCTTCATCACTCGAGCTACTTTCTGAGGGCCCATTAGTTGCAGCATCAATGATGGTATCATTGTTGTTATTGGTAGTGGTGCTTTCGGATTTTCTTTTTCTTGATCCATTGTTGTTGTCAGTTCCAGGATTCTTGCTCATATAATCCATTAAGTGGTTTCTCAAAGCATTATAGTTCTCACAAAGTACTGTCAACATCTCCGTCAACTTCTTGTTTTCAGCGCTTACTCGGTTCAGTTCCTCTACCAAAGCACCGGCCTGAAAGCAAATAATGGGAGGACCGCGCTAAAATTTAGATCTTTCCTAATCACACTACTCGGTTTGGTAACATAAAATATCAAGAAATCGTACGGTTCGTGCTCCAAAAAACTTAAAAGAGTAGAACTAAGAATCTTTTTTGTTGAATTGAAGAAAACGGGGCTAGGGAAATTAAATCTCGGATTACAAGAGTAGAAGGAGAAGAGAGAGAGCCAACCTCCTCGTTGACGGGAACTGTTGTTCCCCCAATTAAATTGCTTTGCACTTCTTGTTTCTGAAATCGAAGTAGTAAATCACATCAAGAATCAGCAAGTAGATAAGGAAAATTCATAACCAAAAATAACAGAAGATGCTCCAATATATCCTATCTTGTTTGATGATTGCATTGACTTTGACGTACCAGACCATCATCCAAGAGCCGGAGAGGTTTAATATTGAGATCCAGTGAAGTATCAACCAAACTAGTATAATCCATAGGTCCAGTGATTAAAATAGCTTGCCAAATCCACACGAACTGTAGAAGAAGCTACTTCTCCTTTAAAGAAGCTTTTGAGATCAGAGTCGAAACTTAGCAAGGGATGGCTAAAGAGATGATTGATAATAATATTTGCTGAGAAGTTTACTTCTGCTGTGTGTGTGTGTTGATAATCGAGAAAGGATACAGTGGGGATATATACAACCAAAGAGAGGAAGCCGACGACTTGTAGGAAGGAAGGTCGGAAGGAAGATGGCCGGAAGGAATGAAAGAAAATAGTGAAAATAATTTGGTGATATTGTAGTATATATTTATAAAAAAGGCTGGCGTTGGAGACTGCCAAGAAAAGAAAAGTAAGGTTTGGTGTCGGTCATGAAGTTGAAAAGCAAATGGGGAGATCTTGAAATTCTTTGTAATAGTCAAAGTCAAGCCCACCTTAGCAAAGGAAGAGAGAAGAAAGGAAGAAAGAGACAAGAGACAAAGTAGTACCAATCCATACCCACATTTATTTGTTTATTGATTGTTGAAGTCCTGTTTGACCCGATCCTCAGCGTCCATCTATCCATCTGTCCATCTAACATCACAAATTAATTGATACTACTACTAATTCGTAATAAATCAACCACTGGTTAATAATACTTTGTTGTTCTACTTCTACCGGGGAAGGTTGTGGTTGCGGACTTGGACCTTGCTTTCTTGTCACGTTTTCAAAGCATTTTCCACGTTACACATTATTTATATTTATATGCACCGAATGAAATGCTAGTTTATTTCATATACTAGTAGACAAAAAGGGCATAAATTAAGGGTTCAAGAAGATCATACACCTATTAATTATATATATTGCAGATTTTGTAAGAGTAGTTAGGATAAGTTTTGATTTCTTAAGTGAAATTTAGCATTTTTTTTCTCTAAACAGTTCCAGTAATTCGTTAATGAAATTTTGCTTTTTATTAAATAAATAAATAATAAAAAAAAGAAGAAAGGTTGTGTTTGAATTGCATTTTCCGTCATTTTTCATGAAAAAATTACTGTAGCGATTTGATATATGTGAGGGAAAAAGGTGATAGGAAAATGTGATCACGAAAAACGACAATATTTTCCGACGGAAACAAGCAATCCAAGCATGGCCAAA